CCAGCCAGTACACTGACCCAATCAAAACTGGTGGAGAAAAGGGTTTATTTCTTCTTACAACTTACAGTTTACAATCCATGATAGAAGAAAGCCAAGGAAGAACTCAAGGCATCACCATGGAGGTGAGAATGGAAGAGAAACCATGTAGGGAGGAGTGCTGCTCACTGAATTGCTCTCATGACTTGCCCAGCCTGCTTTAGTATACTACCCAGGACCAATTGCTAAGGGATGGTGCTTCCAACGGTGATTTTTGTTCCTCCATATCATTTGTTAATTAACAACATGCTTTACAGATTTGGCTATATGCCAGTCTGATGGAGAAAACCCTCAGTTGTAATTTCTTCTTCTCAGAGATGTCTAGGTTTGTGTCAAGCTGACAGTTAAACAAATCAACAGAATGGACCACTTTTCAACTTGATGCACAAACACATCACGTTCCTTTCTCATCTGTTTCCAAGAAGACAGGTTGACATTAATACTAAAATATAAAACTGAAATGACATAGAGTCCCATAGTTTTCAAAAATTCCAACACTGTGAAAAAAATCAAATTCTTTTTAAAAACCCAATATTTCCTTCAAAGTCCAAAGTCTCTCAACTGTAGGCTCTTATAAAAAAAAATAAACAAGCACTCCCCCCCAATAGGTAAATACTTTTTGCTCTGAAAGAAGATAAATATTTGCATCTAAATCAAAGCACATCCAAACTTCAACAGTGTAAAAGTGCTTGATGTCTTGGACCCTGGGCTCTAAAGGCCTAGGCAGATAGCACCTCTTCTCTGACTCTGCCCTCTAACAGAACTTATTTTGTAGGCTCAGGCCAGCCTTCTTCTCACACCTGCTGCTCTTTTGTCAGTGATTACATATGGTACTGGTGTCTTCAAGGTCCTGGGGTCTCAATTGCAACTGTGACTACACCCCCCCACCAATGGCCTCTGGCCTTCTTTCAGAGTTTCCAGCCCTGCCACATAGTGCCAAGACTCAGGTTCTCTCCATGATCTCTTCATACCTTTAAAGTCAGGTGACTGGGGAGAGGGCTCAGTGGTTAAGGACACTTAATGCTCTTGCAGAGGACTGGTGATTGATTCCCAGACCTACATGCTAATACAAACCCATTTCTAATTTTATTTCCAGGGCATCTTATGCCCTCTTTTGTTGTCTGTTAGCACCATTCCTTTACATGTTACACAGTCATATATGCAGGAAAACCCCTCACATGTAAAGTGAAATGAATAAGTGGCATAATAGGACAGGAGGCTTTTGGTCCTGTTGAGCCTTTTTTCCTTCCAATTTCATACAGAAGAACCATTGAGCTCTGAGCAGCCAATACCTTTTCCTGACCAAATTTCCAGTGTCTGCTCTATTATAATAATTTCCTTCTTCTGGTACCAAGTTCTATCTTGGTTACTTTTTTACTTCTGTCATAAAAACACCAAGACCAAAGCAACCTAGGGAAGGAAGGGTGTATTTGGGATCTCTAGTTCCAAAGGGATACTTGTCCTGATGGACTCTTGCTATCATGGCAGGGAGATATGGCAGCAGGCCACTATGGTGGCAGGAAGGGCTTGTGCTCATGTCTCAAATTAGAACAGAAGGCATAGCTATCAAATTCAAATTCTATGTGACTTTTGAAATCACAAATTCTGCCAGGTAGTGACATACTTCCATCAGCAAGGCCCCACGTCTTGTGCCTACACAAATAGGGTCACAAACTAAGGGCCAAGTGTCCAAAATATGATGGCTATTGTCATCCAAATCTCCATATAAAATGAAAGAAAGTCCAGTAAAATAGAAATTAAAATGTAAAGAACATGAAAAGCTTGCTACCCAGAACATGAACACTATGGGAAACTCTGTCTGCCTGAGAGAGAAAGTGGGCAGAGAAGAATGAAAGGAACACACACACACACACACACACACACACACACACACACACACACACACACAGAGAGACAGGGAGAGAGAGACAGAGAGAGAGACAGAGAGAGACAGAGATAGAGATAGAGGCAGAGACAAAGAGAGGGGGTGGTGAAGAAGGAACACAGCAACAGACTTTTTCCTTTATTTTTTTCAAAAAAGTTTGGAGACAGAATCTAATGTAGTTAATGGTGGCCTAAAACCCAGTTTGTATCTGAGGCCATCAGTACACTCATCCTCTTGTCTCTACTTCCAAAATGATGGGATTAATGTGTGCAGCACCACACCAGACTCTTTATATCCTATTAGTAACTGCCTTTATTAACTGACTGTTCTAACACAGGCCACATCTGGGCCTCATCATGGTGTGTCCTAGAAACACAGAGGAGCAGCAAGCAGTACCCAAGGCAGGAAGCCAACAATCAGTGTGCCTGGCCTTGCCTTCAAATAAACAGGGCACCAAAAGGTTTGGCCATCAGCATTTTCAAAGGTTCTCCACTTCTTGTACGGAGCACTCATACTTCAAATTTTTCTTTATTCTAGAATTGAGCACCCAGAATGATCTATGTATAGCCTCAAAATAATGTAGTCTACAGGGAAACAATCTCTTGTTCCTACTACATAGGACATCTTCCAGGAGTTACTGATATTCATCTCAGAACTGCTTCCCATTATTTGAAATGCACTTCAGTCCTAGCCAACATCCTTTCTGGCCTGGTGCTGTTGGTTGAGCTATCAAGACCTCCCTATCTATAAATGCCATATAGCAATGAGATACCTAGGACTTAGCAACACCTAAAAGATGACCATGTTGAGGTTCACATTCAAGGGCAGTGAAGGATGTGACCAGAATTAGTGAGCCAAGGAGCTAAGGAGTTGAGAGACTCTGTAAGAATCATCTCCAGAATGAAATGGACCCACTCAGAGAAATGCCTTAGGCCATGCATCACTGTGGCCAGTGCATCCTCTCTCCTACCTTGCCACTTCTTCATATTATCTACTATGAATTCACCCCAACCAACTGTGCTTTTGACCCCTGAGAAAATGTACCATCTGAGGTCTCCACATTGTGCCCTGCCTCAGTCATATGGGACTGACTGCAAGTCCTTCCTCACCACGGATTCTCTCATCATTTTATTTTTTGGGTCTCTGAGCATAGTTTGCAGGAGTAAGTTCACTGAGACACAGGGAAAGGCAGGAGGGTGATAGGAGTGCAGAGGCTTCTCATCATACTAGATACGAGATTTGTGATTTATCAGGCATCTGTGGCTATTAATTCCTATTGCTTTTTTTTACAGATGGAATTACATACACCAGTGTCATAAATGTTTTCATCAGTGATCCACATGCTGAAGTATATGCTATTTTACTGTAACCAACTGAAGAACAAAAATAATCTTTAGCACCCCAAATGAGAAGACTCTATCTTCTCATTATTCTTTGATTTTAAAGAACACAGGCATCACCCTTTCTGCTTTTAGGATGATAAACTTCTTGCTCAGTAGCACCTTGCATGCTGGAGTCAAAGAATAGATCATATTAGCATGTCACCAAGTGCCAAGGCTTGTTAGAGACTGGTTATTAATATTGTTTATTATGTGGTGCTGTTCAACCTCAGTTCAAAGAAGCACAAAGATACCATTGTAGGATCTGCATCTTTCTCCAGAGCCTGGGCCAGCTGGGACTTAGAGCAGAACATTGAGGGCCAAGAAGTGCAGAGTTGGGAGGAATAAGTCAACATTCTCATTGGTGAGGAAGCTGGTCTGAGTCATAGAGAGGGCAAGCATGAGATCTTATCCATGAAATCTGGATGCAAAAGGGCCTTGGCCTTCATGTGCCCCCTTTCCCCTTTTTATCAAAAGGGAACTAGTCATTGGGTCATCTTGGTGGCTTGTCAGTGTTAAAAAAAATGAGAGGGTAAACTTAGCTATAAGGTGTGGAAGGGGCCACAATGGTACAGAGTGTGCTAGTGCTCCACCAGTCCCTTTATCAGGCCCTCAGGTATCCCTGAGGTCACACAGGTGGAAAAACTCTGACATATCATTTGGTGAACACATAATCATGACTCCCTGACTTGTAGCTAGAGCTTTTCCAGCTTCAGAATAATATTGTGACACATAGGTTTCAAAGCTCTACTCCTTAGGAGCTGAGAATGTAACAAAGGAGGGGGATTTTGGGTAGAGGTGAAGGAGCTAGATATATAAGAGTAAGAAGTGCTCTATAAGAGAGCACAGCCAGTACTGGGTGCAGAATGCAGTGATTTGGGTGACTGTGAACTTGAGTGTGTCTAGGAGCCTAGAAGGTCTTAGAATAAGAGACCACTCCATCTAGGGATCCATATCATCCTCAGACACTGAACATGATAAACCCTGATGCAAACACTTGCTGACAGGAGCCTGGCATGGCTGTTCTCTGAGAGGTTCTGCCAGCACCTGACCAATAATACTCATAGCCAACCATCAGACTGAGCCCAGGGACCCCAATGGAAGAGCTAGGAAAAGGACTGAGGAACTGAAGGGGATTGCAATTCCATAGGAAGAACAATATCAACTCCAAACCACCAACCAAAAAGTCTAAGTGGAGGTCTCCAGGTCTTCAGATACATATGCAGCAGAAGATAACCTTATCCCACATCAATGGGAGTGGAGGCCTTTGGCCCTGTGGAGGTCTGATGCCCCAGTGTAGGGGGATGCTAGAGTGGTGAGGCAGGAGAGGATGAGTGAGTGGAGGATCATCCTCATAGAGAGCCATAGGGGAGGGGGAGAGGAGGGATGGGATGGGGAGTTTTGGAGGGGTAACACAGGGCCTCCTAGTTGCAGATTTGGAGCAGGGACAAGTCCTTGAGCAGTGATACTTAGAACCAGAAAGTCCCACTTGACAGGACATTTATGTCTTGGTTCCTAGAATCCCAACTGTTTTCAGCCTTTGAAATAGTCAACTTCCATGCCTGCTGGGCCACCAAATTCAGTTCTAGTCTAATTGTAAGGAGCATGTAGTCAGAGAGTGGAACCTCACCAACTCAGGGGGAGCATCTTGGGCCCAGAGATATGTGTTCAGGCAGCACACATATGGGTAATCTGGTGAGATGTGGGGTTGGACAAATGTGGGCTCAGGACTCTGTCTTCTCCAGCTCCCAGGTGTCTGATTCCTAAAGACCACAGTGAGTCAAATGAGACCAACAGAGGGACAAACTGTGGTCTAATTCCCTCATAGACTCATGCCCAGAAGAAGGAACCTTAGAGTTCAGGAACACTTTCATGTGAATGTCCTCCATGTGTCTTTTCATCTTTTTCTCCTCTTCTCTACCTGCATTTTGTATATTGATCAAAGAAAAACCCCATCCTCAGAAGGGCTACAGTCTTAGAATCCTAAAACTTAGGTGGGGTTAATATGGGATTTCAGAAGATATTGTGCTAAGGATAAGGAACCAGGTAACATCAGTGAAGAATAGATATGTGTTCTGAAAGAGGCTATAGGTTGGTTTCCTGTTTTACAGGTCTGAGGGATAGTGTATTAAGACACTACTTTGTATTCAGAGAACAAAAGAGCCTGGTTAATACAGTACCTGTGAGTCCCTGTCTCAGTTTCTCCTGTTGCTGTGATAAACCACTCTAAACAACACTGCTTAAGAGAGAAAGGGTTTACTTTAGCTCACAGTTAAAGGTTCAGTCAATAAGAGTGGGGCATTTCAGGCAGCCTGAACATAAAGCATCTGCTCATATTATGCCTATAGTCAGCAGAGAGCAATGAATGAATTCATGGTAGTGTTCAGATGGCTTTCACCATCTTGCACAATAAGGAACTACTGCCTACACAATGTTCTTGTCCACAATTAACATGATAAACTAATATAATAAACTTCCATAATAAATTAATATAATCAATATCATATCCACTGTCATGGTTAGGCAAACATCTCCCATGAGATTATAGTTTATGTTTTTAACCAACATTGTCATCCTGGCTGCATGTGACTAGCTTTTGCAAAGCAAGTTTCTGGGTTGGAGCACCCTTGCCCTACTTACTTTTCAGAAATGTCTAACCAGTTAATTCCCAGGTAATTTCAGAAATCACAGGCTAGTTCACAGAAGAGGCCTCTAGACAGTATTAGCTACTGTATAATAGGGAGAATGAAGCTTAGGATTTAGGAAGCAGGGTAGATGCTAAGTTGCCAGTCAGGCACAGCATCCATCTTCCCTGACACCCATGGTCCTGACTCCATAGCTGGGAATGACACCTTTCCAGGAGAGAAACCTCTGTCTTGTGATAAGGTCACAGTAAGGCCTGGAGCTAGCTGGCTGGGTGCTCATGGGTCATTGTTGAAACTTTTTTTTTTTTAGACAGGGTTTCTCTGTGTAGCCCTGGCTGTCCTGGAACTCACTCTGTAGACCAGGCTAGCCTCGAACTCTCGAACTCAGAAATCCACCTGCCTCTGCCTCCCAAGTGCTGGGATTAAAGGCATGAGCTACCACCGCCCGGCTTTTAACAAGACAGACAGAGCAACTTTGGATGGTCCTGGCCCTCTTTTCTTTTTTTCTTAGTTTTTTTTTTGTTTTTTTGAGACAGGGTTTCTCTGTATAGCCCAGGCTGTCCTGGAACTCACTCTGTAGACCAGGCTGGCCTCGAACTCAGAAATCAGCCTGCCTCTGTTATTGAAACTTTCTAGACTGTTCTTTAGTGTTGTTTTAGATTGTCTTTGAAAAGGACACTACAGATCTACTTCTTTTTAATCTGTCATTTTTGGTCATAACCTCTTCTACATCTATGAGCTGCCAGTGAAGGACCACTACATCATTTACATGGAAAGAGTTCCATTTAAGAAAATATTCCAAGAAGGACATCTCATAGGTGAAGAACATCAGAGAACATAGCTCCTGCCCATGCTCTTTAGCTATTTGAATGCATAGCATAAATGTTCTAAGTGGTCAGTGTGAATGCTCTGAAGCGAAAAGCAAAGATCTATACAGAACTTTCAGGAATTTGAGCAGATATGGCCTTGAGCACTAAACAATAGGACAGAAATCCTTCCCAGTCACTTATTACATGTCACTTCCTGCTATCTCAGGTTTCATTTCAGGCAGATGAAAGGTGGTGAACTAATAGAGACCTTTTATTGTCAATGTTCTCTAGGGACAGGAGGTAGACTAGTGACCTTGAAACAAAGGCTTCTTCCCTGGTTAGAGTATGATGTTACTCTGCTGTTAGGATGGCATCTGTATTTTTAGTCATACTGCAGCCCTATGTGTCAGTTAATACCCATTTCCTGTGGACAAGCTATCCCACTATTACCCATTTTGCACCTTCATGTTTGCTCTAAATTTTCTTGTCTGTTCCCATATGCTCCAGTTTGAAGGCTCTAGTTCTAGGCAGTCTTTTTTGTCTTTGTGTCAGTGGCTTCCAGTAGGGCTGTGTAGTAAGACCTACATCTACTTGTCTGGCTTCTGCTCATAGGAAAGTATCCAGAAGAAAACCTGGAGGCCTTGGAAGAATTCAAGGAATTCATACAATACAAAGGACTTCTTCAAGAAAACATTATTGTGCCTGAGCAGAGGGGTAAGAGGATGCTCTGCTCTGCCCCTTGCCCATGTCTCCTTATTTTCCATGATATAAGGACTTTTGTATAACCATAAGTCTTACTTTACCAGCAGGCCCTTTCTTGTGATCTTAATCATGAGACCATCCAAGCTGCATGTATAATCTGGGTCTTCATCCTGGACTCCCTCTTATATTTGATTTTTTTCTTGCTTTTACAGAATGTTGTGTCCCCATATATGACAGTGGTAAGTGACACTGTGAAGGAACACTAAGAGAATTGGGCTTCCTCAATTCCAGGGTTGATGTTTCTATCTGGTTTTGACCATGCTAACATTCTCCTACTCTGAGGGGAACCTGCCTAGCTAGGAAGCAGTGATCACTCCAGGAGATGTTCTCAAGCATAATTTCCTGGATACTTAGAAAATCTGTCTTTTCTTTTCCCAGAGTCCTTCCTGTACCATGGTCTCACCACTTAGTCTAATTCCATACCAACCAAACATGATTAGAGATCTACAAAGTAAAGAAAGTCAGGATAGTTCTGTGGCCCATATATTCTTAGGATGGACCTCCCAGAAGCTTGATGAAAAGAACATTTTTAATATGCACCTAACTCCTATTCTCATGGTAAGGGGAGGGGTCTCTCAGTTGTATGCCTCTCTCTGTCACAGCCCACCAGGACCACAAATGTTGAGCCATCTTTGCCACTAGGACATGGCCTTGACCTCACTGAGTTACTCTTTCTTCTGGACCATATTCCACTGAATTGCATACCCCGAATGTGTCTTCCTTTACCAGCAGGCCCATTATTGTGATTTTAATACATGCATAATCTGGATCTTCATTCTGGACCCCCTGAGTCTCACTCCTTCCTTGATTAGTACTACCCATTGGAATTCCAGTCCTCCTTCTCTATTGTTTAACTTTTGTCCCCAGCCCCATCTGCATCCAATAAAGCATTTAGCAATTCTGAGTTCTGCTTGTATGTGGCAGGCCTTCTCAGTTTAAAAGGTTAAGGAGATATTGGAATTAGACACCCAGATATTGGATACCAGGCACCCAGTAACTTGGTACCCAGAAGTCCTGTAGAGCTATGGGATATCTTGGAAGTTCAAGTGATATGTGGCCAATGCCAAGTAGCTTCCTAAGATGTCTGACACTGGGCTAGGAGAATTTAGGTAGCCACTAGGTTGGGCAAGACTGGATGATGGCCTTGGGTTTGCAAATATCTGCAAGTTCCTACAGAGATATCGTTGCATTGAGTAAATTCATGAAATCTTGGGAAGGAATAACCTAGAAGCAGTCGCAAGGGTGAATTGAGGAAGATTGCCAGAACTTGATGCAGCTTTCTGAGTAATTTTAATCACCCTGGCTTTTCTGTGGTTGGTCAGGATTCAAGGTTTTAGTCGACACTGCCCTGGGGACATGGTAGGAGAGCAGTAATGGAGTACTTTGAAGGATCAATATAGACCAAGAGAGTGCCTATCTAAGTGGAACATGGATTCCTGGAGGATAGTTGTGCAACATCAATTTTCCCTGAGAAATTGTAGTGACTCTCAGGTAAGCATTAGTAGTAACCCTTCAGCCCAACTCCTTCCCTTGCCTGTTGTCCTTTCCTTGCCTCTATCTGCTGGATCTGGTAATCTGGAAAGGGAGCCAACCATTTAGGTACCCAGAGGAGCCTGAAGCATCAGGGACACTTTGCAGAAAAGGGATAGGTAGAATAAATAAAAATATAATATGTGTGTGTCTCTGTTGTATGAGATCCAAGAATATTATGGAAGTGTTGATGACCTCCTTGTAAAAATATAAAAATGAAGTGGAAGTATTTTGCTGCACTTGGAATAAGAATTGAGTTTCACAGTATCAATGCGTAGGGTGAAAATTCTTATATGCAAAATAGATTTTATTGCATTCAATTAGATATCATGCTTTCAAAAGTTAGTGTTTGAGACTAGTAGAGTGATGAAGCAGGATGATCTCTTTGAGGTTGAGACAAGTCTAGTCTATATGGCAGTTTCCAGGATAGCTAGGATATTTTCCAGCTAGGATAGTTTCCATGATATTTTGAGACCCTGTCTCAAAATAAACTACTCAAATCTTAGAATTGATCTAAAACTGTTGAGATTTCATTGGATTTTTGTTTCAATGCATGTTTACATTCCATGTTTTATACATTTTAGTCTGTGTTACCTGTACAGTTTCTGTACAAGTATTTCTTTGTGGTGTCATTCATAGGCAGATCTTCCCCAAATTTGACCTAGATAGTGTCATCTAGACTATCTCCTGGGACCTGTGCAATGTTGTATGTCAGGGGCAGCCCTGCTTATACACTGAAGGCCTAAAATCAGCAATAGGCCTGACATACATGCCTGCTAGCACCAAATCTTGGGTCTCTGTGGAAAAACACTGAAACAGATGGCTAGAAGTTACTGTAAACAAGCAGCTTTGGTGGAAGGCTGCCAAGCCTGTCTAGTCATAGACCTTGTAGATAGGTAACCTTGGTGGATAGTACCAACTTAGATAAAGACAAGTGAATCATAGGCAGAGTCATAGTGATCTGTCTCCTGAACCTTCACCCATCTGATACTCTGTTCTGGAGGATATCTGTACTCCCCCTGAACACCTACATTCCTGTGCCATCCCCTTCCCCACATCCTGCATTTTTGTGTATATAACCTGTGTGTGAAAAAGTGAAAATGGTGATCTGATCAGATTGTAGACAAGTCATCATTTCTTGCATCTTTGCCTGCTTCCCCCCTCTCTGCTCTCTTTCAGGTGACCTCCCTGGACCCCTGTTTAATGTCCTGCTGGACAGGACAGTATGACTTATCCTGGAGATAATGTGAATGTCTATTCATTCCAGACTGGAAAATGACAATAAACAAGGAATCTATTTCACCCAAGTTTATCTGGCTGGATCACTGAATTTATTAGGACAATATGAGAGGCTAGTTTGAGGAGTGTGCATGATGCAGGAGGCTGCATCATCAAAAGATACTTGGCCACTGGTGGTGCTTCATGAAAGCTAAGTAGCTTGAACTCCCTCCACCAAACCCAGGAAGCTTCACTAAAGGGTCTTCTCTTTCCTTGCATTGTTTATTGCATATATAATTGTAGTGAATCATGAATCATGAAGATTTTTTGTTGTTGTGAGTTTTGTGGACCTCCTGCAATTCTCTCCATAGTGGAATATTTCAATCTGAAAGCTATAGGTACACAGCACTCAACCCTTTCCTATGGCTCTCATACTCTTTCTGCTCAGTCTTCTCTGAAAATCACTGAACCTTAGCAGGAGGTAAAATAAAAGACATATTTTCTTTCATATATTGTAACAGTTACGTATTTTCAGTAATTTGGTCATCGATGCAAATACTTGCAGTAACCAGTACCAACTTTTAGAAAAAAAAAAGGTTTCCTTTGTGACTGAAGCTGTACAGAGCATGAATACTCAAGTTTAGAAAACACTTTTGCCAGAAAATAATTGTATTATAACAAAACAAGAGCAATAAGCACACCATTGAAGTTTTGACCTCAATGGTTACACAGTTTTGTTCTTTCTACTAAACTGAATAAGAGTTACCTCCTGTGAAGTGCTTTCATTCAATTGGAAAGTCTTTGGTTGTATCCATCACAGCATTGCCACTGCAGCACCACCCGAAAAATGTTGCCTCACCTGTTGGTAGTGAAGGGCAAGTTGTCCATACTATCGTAGGACAGCAGGTGATAATTCTCCTGCATTAGCATACTCAGCATCCTCTGTGACTAAAAGAGTCAACCAGTTGGAGGATCATCCAGATTCAGGAACTGAACCATGATCCTGAGCTAAGATTCTACAGAGTTTTTAAGCTCCATATCCCACAAATATCCGTGCCAAGTTAATTCACCATTCAGGATTTAGGGATAGGAGAATTTAATTGGCAATACGTCTTTGTTGTACACTTATCCTGCTCCCATTGGTTGGTATATTCAATTGTGTCAGGACACTTGCCATGTCTAAATTCATGTCCTAACTTTTCTATCAATATGGGACTTGTCTAACATTTATGTCTTAATTTGCTAATCAGGATGTCAGTAACCCACACACATGTCTCTTTCTGCCAAGTAGGACGTCAGTTTCCAGGGTGGTCTTGGAAATTTAAACTTTACTTGACCATTACTCAAAATGGCATACTTATTCCAAATAGTTTCTTATATTGGTGCAAGTGTCACTTTTATATTGGGATTGACCTCAGGGGCAGCCTATAACATAAATGCTTATATCTAGGTGCAGGAAGTACTTTGGGTGGTTTGGGTCTAAGCTTATTGTGGGCAACTATACAAAACAGTTCTAGTGACTTATTTTGTGATTCATTTCTACAGGAAGAGAAAATAACAGAATATATAATTAGTCTTGGCATTAGAAAGTTTTCTAGTTACGGCAGAAATATATTAGAAAGTTTCCATATAATAGGCTACCCAGAAAACTGTTATCTAGGCCTTAACATTTTACCTAGGCCTTAACATTTTACCTAAGTCCCAACAATACTTATTTTCTTAATCATCTGCCTTTTGACTAGGACAAGGTGGGATCTCAATGTTTATTTCCTTGATTGTGAATAATGATGTACACTCTTTTACATTATTACCCATTTGTGCTTCAGCATCAAAGTGCTGTTCATTTCAGTCTCCCATTTACTTATTGGATGATCTAGATGCCAGAGGGTATCTCATTCTGTAAGCCATTTTTCACTCACATGTACCTGCTTTAAGAAAGGTTTTTTATTTAATGCAATCCCATTTGTCACCTCTTGGCTTTATTTCCTGAGCTACTGTACTTATTTCCAGACATTCTACCCTTGAAGTATCTGCACTTCAGTTTCTATAACATTCTCAGAGTTTCATCTCCTACATTAAGATCTTTGATTCCTTTTACATTGTTGTTTGACAGGGTGAGGTAGAGACCCAAGTCCATTCTTGGACCTGACTTTCAGGTCTCCATCAGCATCTGTTGAAGAGATTTTCTTTCTCATATATAACTTTTTGACATGATTTAAAAAAACCAGATGGTCCCAAGGTGTAGCTCCATCCTTACATTCTCTATTCTTTTTTTTTTTTTTGGTCTAGGTTTCTATTTGCTGCCAATACCACATGCTTTGGTTACTGCATTGCAACTTGGAATCTATAAGAAGGCACTCTGTCATAGTTCCTTTTCTGCCCCAACGGGGGTTCAACAAGACCTTAGGGAAGGAGAGGTGAAAGATGGGACAAGAGACACAAAGAAGAAGCACAAGTCTGAATGTCTGATCAAGTGCTTGAACTTTATTGTTCGAGTCACCTTATAAAGACAAGCATGGAGGAGGGTCAGGGTCCAGGGCCATCCAGTAATTGTTAAGTTCTTTGCATGCATTCCTTAGCCCAAACCACTTTCTCAGGAGCAAGAGGGCAATAAAACATTTGTTAGGCTCAAGTTGCTAATTTTCTCTCCCAAGCAGGAAGGCCAATAAGGTCTTCCTTAACTCAGACAATCTATTTAACTGACATTTGTTCTCAGGAAGAAGGCAATAAAGTATTCTTTAACTCAGGCTATCTACTTAACTGACCTTTTCTCTCAGGAAGAAGAAAGTCTTGGCTCTCAGTATCTCCTCCTTTCTAACAAATTTAAAAGAGACTGGTCTGAGAAAGCAGACATTTGCAATTCTTATTGATAAATGA